AACGCGTACACGAGATAAAAGATCTTGGTATAACATATGACAGTAAATTAAAATTTACAACAAATATAAGGAATACGACTGCTGATGCAAATAGGATGCTTGGATTCATGTACAGAAATGGCAAAAACTTCGAAAGTATTGCCACCTTAAAATTGCTATATTTTGCGTATGTCAGACTTAAGTTAGAGTATGGCTCTGCGTTATGGAATCCAATTTATGACTACCAAAAAACATCAATTGCGAGCCTGCAGGGAAAGTTTCTAAAATACTTATATTTAAAAGTTGATGGATAATACCCCACGAAAGGTATCGATCATAACATTTTGTTGACACGATTTGATAAGACATCTTTGGAAAATAGGAAAGTTATCCTTGGTATGAATTTCCTAGATGAATTACTCAACAAAAATATTGACAGTACGGTTCTTTTACTCGAGATCAATTTCTTAGTACTAAGAAGTGAAGGTTGACACAATCTGAAATTCTGTTGCGGAGCATCACGCTCGAATGTTATGCCACGATCACCATTGAATTGTATGTGCAGTTGTTTCAATGAAATCTTTGAACTTTGCGATATTCATTTCGACTCTCTGAACGCCTTGGTATCATGTGTTCACAATAACTTTCAATAATACTATAAATGATCTTTTTCTACACCCGTACTCTAACAATACACTTATATGACCATAATCCGTTTCATAATGATATCCATTATGATACAGATTTTTCATAACGATACAGATTATCAACCAATAGAAACCCATAATTTTTCAATCAAGAATCCTGTTCCTTTGTTTGTCCTAACTAATTGCTTTATTTGTCAAAATCAGTTTTCATATTACCTACCTATATTATCAAAATGTCTGAAAACAGGGAATATAGAAGGAATACCATCAACTCCAATATTTTTGAAAGATCAGATTAATTACAGTTGTTATATTCAATATAAATACAATTAGAATATTTATAGTTTTCATATATCCATGATAATACCATTAAGTTTGTGTTTTTTTAAAAAAATATGAGTTAATTACTGTAAATGTGTTCAATACAAATATAATATTTATAGTTTTTCATTATTTATCGGGTTTAGAAAAAATAGCGTAGGCAACTCTCATGTAATGGTTATTAATATACTCGCATATACCATACAAAACACGCCTTCGGCTCGTTTCGTATCCCGGTTAATGCTCGTGTCTTAATAACCGTCATTACATGATCGTTGCATAATATACTAGTGTGTCAGTACTGCTACATGCATGATTTGTAACTTTTTGTGTTATACAGTGTCACCGATAAAGTCCGCATCAAATGGGAAACTTTTTTATTTATCGTTTCATGTGAAATTTGATTTTGGCAGTAGGTTTTGCTTAAGAAATGATGTCAAATGGCGTCTAAAAAATAGGTCACGTGATTTCCTTAACCTGTCAAAATTGACATTTAAAAAAAGAAACATCGAAAAATGACATTATTCTTCAAAATATCCAAAAATATCAAAGGATAAAAACATTTTCTTTTGTAATTTCATACCCACACACCAAGTTTCAAACCCATAATGAGTATTTTATATTTTCACTATTTTTCCGCATCTTTTTTTAAATGTCAATTTTGACAGGTTAAGGAAATCACGTGACCTACTGCCAAAATCAAATTTCACATAAAACGATAAATAAAAAAGTTTCCCATTTGATGCGGACTTTATCGGTGACACTGTATACCATTTTTTTTTTCATTTCTGTTTTGAAATTCTACGTATATGAATATTTTATATATACTCTGTTTTTTTCAGCATTAATTTTATACATTTCTATATTTCATTATTTTTAATATACATGTCATATTATATACTCTGTAATAATAGCATTTCCTGTAACTGGGCACTCCTGTTGGAAATAAATCACTTGTCTTTATTGATGATGAGTAAATCACCAAAATGAGAGGAGAAGGGGAATTATGAAAACTTGAACTATAATGAAATATTATAATCGTATTACGACCCATTCATCTTATTTTTTCATTCATTTTGGTTTCAGTTTCTTGCTTTCACCCTATGAAATATTCAGAATCGATGTTTCATCTGAATTCAGTGTATACAATCTACACAGGTCAACCACCTTGGAAACAGTAAATCTTTCAATGAATCCGTATCACCTGGAATATTTTGTCTGGCAAAAAATTCCAAGGTATAACCACTCACCAGAAAACCACAGCCAAGTGCCAGTTGTATCCAAAACAATATGTTTACAACAGTTTCATCTCTTATTTTGATAAACATGATCATCATTACGAATAACATGAAGAAAATGAATACTAACGGAAAGAAGTATCCGAACATATGCGTGAAAGCCCACTCATGTACAATGGCTGACACTAGGAAAGTAGTAAATTTGGCTACACCTTTACTTCTCACAACGTGTTCGTATATATCTTTATAGATGTAGGTATACAGCCAGTCGTGGACAATTACGTTCCAATTTCTGAAAAATTCCGTGAATGTCCTACAATTCCACCAGTCTCTGTAGAAAAGTCTGTCACCAAACCGCAACAACTCGGCAAATATATTCTGCATAGAATGAAGAATCAGGTAAAAATCGGACACGTATATCAAGAGGCCTGGAAGGGCATGTTCCAAGAAGGAGACGATCAATTCGTCCCAAGTAAACCTTCTTCTACCAAAGTCTTCATAGGCTGGTATGAAAATTCTGTGGAATATGAAGCTTTGGCAAACGATGACACCCAGGATTTCCAAAGTGCTACAGAAAATGAACTTCCATCGGATACAGCTAGTTCTGAAATGTAAATAAGAAAAAAGTATCAGTATTATCATCACTTCCATTGGCAGTTAATAAGATATAGAAAGTTTTTCATCGACCTTTTTTGGGTATTTTTTACCTTCCACAATCTGAAAAAATATAAAAGTCATAATGGAGAACTTTATACAAGTGTAGAAAGGGCAAACTTTTTAGTTTGCCTGAAAAGTTACTGCGTAAAATCAAAGTATTTTTCACAAAGAAAATTGTTTTATTCCTCAGTAACTTGTCGTATTTAACAATTTTGCCTATCAAAAAAATTGCTAAGAAATACGTATATTCACTTATCTGCGCACAAGATGATGTGCGCATCGGTGTTGAGGTGCTAGCTTTACATTCCTCATCAATATTCCGCCCATAATGATCATTATAACTTATATTATCATCAACATCTACCAGCGAATCATTTTCTGACAGAACCTAGTCATTTTCAAAAGCGATTTGTTCATTGGCGGAATCACAAACACTATAATCGATATTAAAGATACTACAGCGTATCAGTTGGTGCTGCTGTCGTTTCCACATTAACTTTTGACTACTCGCGCCGGTGTAAAAAATACACCAATATTTCTCAAACTTCTGTCATTCAACCATAGATGTCGGTAATAGCTGTTGGTGGACATGTAATCTATAATAGGGTTGTGTATCTTAACTTATATCAGTCCAGTTTTAACAGCCCTAAGACACGGCACTCCTCTCATCTTCCGTGTGTCGAGAGTACGGCGTCATCTACATGCAACATGCATTGGACGACCTCGAGCGCTGGTACCTCGAATGGAAGATCCGAGTGAAGCCGAACAAGACTCAGGCGATAACCATGGGAAGATTGGAATCTTATCTTCTCCGGCCAGAAAAGTGAGGATCTCTGAAAGAAAAATTGACTGGCAAGCGCGGGTAAAGTATATCGGTCGTCTGATAGACCGTAGGCTCACCTGGAACCCGCACATTATATGCGTTTAAACAAAGATCGAGGATCAAGAGTCTATACCCTCTGATCAATAGGATATCAAAAATGAGTCTTAAAAACAAAATTATCATCTACAATACGATGTTCAAGCCTGCCATCATGCATGCTTCAGGCGTCTGGGGACAAGCGGCTCCGTCTAACTTCTCTATCCTGGAGAAATTACAAAATAAGTTGATACGGATGATTGTGAATGCTCCGCGGTTCGTGCGAAATGAAGCCATCCGCAGAGATTTGCAGCTGTCTTCCATTCAGCAGTCCATTCAGTCCAGGAATCGGCGAGTTTTTGATAGCGCAGAAAGTCACGAAAATCTGTTAGTTAGGGAAGCTATAGATTGTGCTATAGATAACCCCTCCCGATATAGAAGGCCCCGACACTCTGTCGAATGAGGCCTAAAACATAGACAGAACCTACATTAACCAGATGTATAAACAAACAGATGGACTAACGGGGGGATCCCCACTATCTGGCATTATTTTCGAAATATACCTGCAAACCATAAATGAGAAAATCTTAACAATATTAAAAACATATGATGAAAAAGGAGATTGGTTCAGATACATTGACGATGGACTGTACATATCACAAACCAATGGAAAAAGAATAGATGAAATAACAAAAGAAATTAAAAAAATAAATCAGAAACTATTTTTTAGCATTGAGGAAGAGAACAACTCAAAACTTAACAACCTGGACATAACCATCGGATATAACCACAACAAAACACAATTTCAAATGGCAACATACTTGAAACCTACACAAACAAGCTCCACCATATCCGCAAGTTCAAACCATCCACCATCACATAAAATGGCTGCCTATAAAGCATTCATATATAGAATGTTAAGGATACCACTTAGCAATAAAGTCCGAAACAAGAACGGATACATCCAAAAAAATAGATGAATCAGAAAGCAGAATCAAACAACAACTACAGAACAAGGCTCAAGCCACCCCAACAGACAAAACAACATAACGATGGACAGCATTTACGTACGTAGGACACCAAACCAAAAACTAGCTGACCGCAGAGAATGCAGAACTGAAAGAAGTTAAAACAAAGAAGAAAGGAAGAGAAGAAAAAATAAAGAAGGAGGAAGAAAAACAGACAGACACCAGGAAAAATAAACAAGAGACCACAAAGGAAAAAGGGTGCGGAAAAGTGAAGGACACAGCGAGCGAAAAGGAACATGAAAACAAAGAAGACAATAAAACTACTAAGAGGACAAGAGCCCAAGTATTTTCTCTGTGTATTTTCTCCCCATAAGGATTATTTTCACAACGTTTCGGCAAAGTCTCATTTGCCATCTTCTGGTGATGTCTGGTTTTTTCAACTAGACTGATCAATTCGAACTCTGTGTCTCAATTTATAGAGATGGATGTTTCCCTTTACCTGCGTTGCTGCCACTACCTGTGTTTGCTCGACTACCTGTTTTGTTTCCTGTTTCTTATGCTCGGCAATGCGAACTTTCAATGGCCTCTTAGTTTCACCGATGTATGATTCTCCACACTCGCAGGGTATCCGGTAAATGCAATTCTTGGAATCGCAGTCCGCGTTGGGTGGCTTAGTTTTCGTGAGGCGCTGATATTGATAGTGTTAAAAGTTTTGAAACTTTGAAACAGGTTCTGATGTTATATTTGGACCCAGTCCTTCTTATCCTCTTCAACAATCCTCTGATATAGGGAAGTACAAGTACTGGTTGTGGCGAAATCTTTCCTTGTAAAGCTCTTGCTGTGTTCCAGCTGAAACCTGTTCCACCATCACTTTGAAGTGACCATTTCGTTGATGGTCATTTTTTATGATGCCCAGTTCCTTTTCGAAACCTTCGTTTGTATTACAGAGCTCGAAAACACGGTCTAGTAGAGTATTGATGATTCCTCTCGTGGTCGATTGATGGTGGTTGGATTCTTGATTCAGATACTGTCATTTGTGAGTGTGTTTTAAATTCACAGATGTTTCCCATTTCGTGTCGGTTCCTTGAACAATACGTCTAAGAATGGCAATTCGTTGTGGACTTCCTTCTCCATTGCGAAGCTGATGGAAGGAATATCATTGTTGATGTGCTTCAGGAAAGTCTCTAATTCCGCATTCCCATGGTTCCATATTATGAAGGTGTCGTCCACGTATCTCAACCAGACCCGGGGTTTTTTGTGGGCCTCTTCAATGGCCAGAGTTTTATATATTTGTTGGCTATGACTGGTGAAAGTGGCGATCTCATTGGCAGTCCCTCATCTTGCGTAAAGAATTCGTCCTTCAGTTGGGAGTAGCAGTTGCGTACACATCATCCTAGTAATTCCATGATTACTTGTGTCGGTAAGTTTGTTCCATTTTTCAGGTCTCCATCTTCGGATAGCTTCCTCGGAATGATTTGAAGTGCTTTCCACGTCGTAACTGATCAGTAGATCCTGCTCTTTGACTTCGATTGCCCCTAATAGTTCAACAAAATGTCTTGAATTCTTCACGAAGAATGATGTTTTTCCTTGCAGTGGTTTAATTATTTGGTAGTAAAAATCTGGAAGAGTTCTGAGAGGCTGAATCTCTGGAGCTAATGATCGGTCTGAGCGGAACATCCTTCTTGTGGATTTTGGGTAGTGACTTCAATTGCCCCTATTGGAAAATGGAAGTTGGAACTGATGGAATGCACCACAAAACATTGTCAACTACCTTCAAACCAGGATAAATATATCCCAGTTCCATACCACAAATACACGAAGAACTTTGGAAAGATTTTCCAGAAATTAGGAATGGAGGTGGTTTTTAAAACAAGTCATACAATACAAGAAATTTTAGGAAGTCCAAACGACAAAGTCGAGAATTCGGAAAAGTCTGGAATTTACGAATTGAAATGTAGGAACTGTGATGCAAAATATTACGGACAGGCAAAAAGATCTATTGAAATAAGATATAAGGAAAACTTAGCACACTTAAAATATGAAAGACCTGAAAAATCAGCAGTCGCCCATCATATTTGGCAACAAATCCATTCCATAGACTTCAGTTCTTCAAGATTAGTTAGACAAGTTAACAACAACAGGTAACTAGATGAGAGTGTAGAAATAAGTATACATAATAATATTATGAATAACGATGGTGGACAAATACTTAATAGTATACTATACAGGATCTTTCACGACGAGCGTTCTTTAGGAATATATGGAGAACGATTCAAAATGAAAACTTGAAATTTTGTGATAGAGGGTTTTACAAAATGGCCGTCTCAACTGAAATATTTTCAACTTCCGGTCTCTTTCCGTTATACCGGAAGTTAAGCACAATTCAGGCCCACATTGTATAACAATGCCTATACCCAAATTTGTTAGTTTTCGAGATATTAATTTTTTTCTGAAAAATTTGACAGTTACAGCACCACTCCAAAAAAATTATAATTCATAGACAGTAACAGTTGAAATTGTGGAATATCACAGAATCTCACCTCAAGCATCAAGTCATGAACAGGTCTATCGAATTTTCGAAAATATTTTACACGAAATTTCCACCTAAAACATAACATCAAGAAAACTGATGAAACACGCT